TTTAGCAAGTTCCGGCGGTTGGAATGTCTCACTATATGGATATCGCGGTGAACTTGAAATAGGAAGTTTTTTTTTATCCAACGACAGAAGAATAGTTTTCATGACGGTGATAAAAGATTCCCGTTGCTACAATTTGTACAAAATATTTTATTAAGCCAAAATAACGTGATTTCAACCAATCTCCCAGGTACGGGTTGCTACAATATTGCAACATTGTTTTCATTGTCGACGGCGTTAAAGCCGAACGAGTGCGATACTTGCTTAGCGGCTCTCCTTATACGATTTGCCTGAATCGTTTCTAAGGAAACACAAACCAGACGGCCGGCCATTTTTAGGGCCACGACATATTTCAAAAAGAAAACTACCCGGGCCGTTTCTGCTAAGCTGTCACAGCTATTTTGCGTTCACCCCTTGTTTTAAGCAATTAACAATTTTTATAAGTATCACGACAGACTTCAAAAAAGTCAACTGTTAATACAACCACAGTCAACGAATAGAAAATAGTTTTTTTTTTTTTTGTGTACTATATTAACCAATGTGCCCGATTATGACCTCAACTTCTTTATTGTGTCAAAAGTGGGGGGTGGGCGTTTGTCCAGGCATGGGCTCTTACTCAGATAAGTATGGTATGTGAAAAAACAACTGACCCTGTTTTTGGCATAGAAATTGAAAAAAACATGTCATAGACTGTTAAAATATGAATATTGTTATTGCAGGTGATACGCTGTATTACAAGTTCTCAGCTGACTGTAGTAATAATGACTGGGGATTTAAATTTACTGTGACCGGGGGTAAGATGGGAAGGTAAGAACACAATATACTTTATTTAAAGCATCTGGTGAAAAACATCATACAGTACAGAGCCTATGCGTATGACACCACCTCAAGACATTTTACATGTTACTTCAGTGGGGAACTTTTAGTGAGACTTCTACATGGCTGCCAATACTGTAAAATACTTTATTTTCGCTTGGAATTAATTTTCACTATTTTGGCTGAAGGAATGATTCAGTGAAAATAAAATCCAGCGAATTTACCTTTTTCCCTATATTTTACATTCAAAATTCTGTACAAAACATCCAAAGAGTATTTTCAGCAAAAATTAATTCCATTTCTTACCAGATCCGGGTACTTCACATGCAAATGAATAGTCGCGCAGATGTCTATCATTTTAGCGTGGCCAATCGTGAAATGTGTCAGGGATCACCGGCTACTAGGATTGCCCACGACTTACACGAAGTTTGTTTTGGCTGTACTATACGCGATCGCGACATGTTCCACAGCAGTTTTTGATATCATGTCACTAACAACTTGAAATCTTGGCGTGAACAACCAATGCATTGAGGGGGTCATTTAGAATAAATTTGCATGCGTTATGTTAATATAATTTATTTCGTGATGTCGGCATCAACTATGAATTATTCATATCAACTAGAAACCTGCAGACGGGGACAGTCTCTCGGGACTAAAGTCCCTCGCGTGAAATGCTTTGCATTTCCAATCAAATGCCTTCGGCGCTTGAATGTCTAGGAAACACAATTACATTAGGCCCAAGGACTGACGACAGTCTAGGTAAAGAATTGATAATTGCAGTGAATTTGAACTAAATTTTGAACCCTGTCAGAACATCTGCTAATGATTGTAGCTAAGATCGCTAAATGGATTTCTTAATAACCTTTTACTATATTAACCAAGGTGGAGTCATATTACGGTATTGTCTAGATTAATTTGTAAACCAGATTTAATATTTCATCAGATAAATACACTAAACATTTAAGGTAGCGAGAAGGGTTTTGTGACGTTTTCGAATAAATCATTCTCTGTCTGTTGTCTTGTTCAGAAGAGTAATTTAGCTTATATATTTCAAAAGACTAAGTATAGAGGTACAAGTTCGCACAAACTGGACGGTCATTGTTTACATAATTATCACGTGACATCAAAAATGGCGAATCTTGTAAAAATGACTAAGTCCTCGATTGCGAGAGCACACTGCGGAATTTCCTGGTGAAATTTACGTCATGCATTGTCCGTAATCAAGTCCATTGAAATGCGTCTCCGATAATCAAAAGACCTATTATTCCGATTTCTATGCAGGTTTGTTTTTTTGTCCTCGAATTATTTCATACTTGGCACCTTTAACAGACTATTATTCTGTGACAAAGCATTTTCTTTAAAAACCCAGACATATTTCGCACCATCATTATCTTTTGAACGATAACTGCGAGTTTGAATGTCCTAGTCCGAACGCACTTGATTTGGCGGCGGTCCCATGAGTCGTACTCAATCGAAACTTCAATTCGAGAAAACGCAAAAA